AGAAGTAGCGTGACTGGCAACGTAATTGTCGTGGATGCCAGCTACAAGACCGGCGCCGGCCAGCAAGAGCACCGTGGAAACGGCGAGGAATATGACAAAGTCACGCATCGTGAATATTGAAGCGGCTGCTTTGAACTTGGTGAAGAAGGCTAGATGTTTGGTTGGTGTGTGTTGCGTCTAGAGCTGGCTTTTGTACTTTCACCCGGGGCTTACCGAGAAGGAACGAAGTGTAGAGAATGACAATTCGACTCGTCTTTCTAAGCTGAGACTTGATCTATGATGAAAGAATGGCCGAAAAGAGTGAAGTTGAAATATCGCGAGTTGATTGCCGCAGAAGGATCGGAAAAGACGCTGGTGATGGTGGTGTGAAACAGGGTTCAAACGACAAAGTCAGCGCAGCGCAAGGTCTTTAACCTCCTGCTGAAATCGAATCAAAATGTCTACTATTGAAGAAAAGAACACTGCAGGTGTAAGTGTGTTGAAACGGAAAGAAGTTGAGTTGATAAGGCAGTTTCAGACTCATGAATGAGCTTCGCAGTTGCCTCGTTCTTCTATCTTAGATGCAGTATTTTCTCACGGAAGGAGTAGTTGAGTTATGTAGAGCAGAAGGAGCCCATTCTGAGACCGATTCTGCCGTGAGAGTGCCGTCTCACGAGACGGGAGGCTGTGATACGGAATTGTGATACTTCCGCCACTGTTGGACCAACATTCTGAAGTTCAAAGAAGCTTAGCTTTGAAATGTTAGGGCTGACGATGAGGCTTTCCAGAATCGTTCCACTATGGGATTGGTGTAAGGTGACCTCAACCCACGTTTTCTAGTCATGCTAGCTTCGTACGAGCTCAGAATGAACTGAACCATTTCCCTTCCGGATGGACATCGTTACGATGTCTGTCACTTTCACAGGTGGCTTACTGCTGTCTCTGACCATGTACGACGATGGCGCTGGATCGTGCGTCCCGAAAGAAGCCCGTCAACTTGAAGAACAAGCTTTGTGCGCCCGCCAAAGGCCGTTTGCTTCCCGCTTTTCATTATGCAACATTGACGCTGATTAAGGACAGGCTCATACAAATAACATTTTACTGCACGTGAACATGCAACGTATGACACTGGTGAAGCTGCTTGAATTGGCGAAGAGAAAAGTTTCATTAAACGCGGCAAAGGTTGTACCATGCGCCGCTGAGAGCTATTGACATCAAATAGCCCGGCTTAGGAAGACGCCAACTGCGTAGCTGCCTTAGCATACAACGTAACGGTGATGGCGATGCTGGCAAGCCAAGCGAGACTTCGCAGGGGGCCGAAGCTACGATTGTCCTGCAGGCGGACGTAGATGATGTTGTACAGGGCCCTGGAGGCGATGTAGCCCAGTGTCAAGACGTTAACGGTCTCGGTGTCTACCCTGGCGAAGTTGGCGGCGACCACGGCGGCAGAGTAGAAGCCGAGCGTCTCAAAGGCGTTCTCCGATGCGGCCTTGGCGCGGAGAATGCGGGCTTTGGCCTAGAGATTTCGCAGCCTCGTGTAAGATGATGGGCTACGGTATCTGGGGAGGAGGGCAAGGTTCCCTCTGAAAGGAAGGGTTGCTGTTCTTACAATCTTGTCCAGCTTGTCATCGGCCACGACACTAGTTTGGAGCTTTCTCGGGTTGCAGAGGTCGTAGTGTGCTCCTGCTCCGGAGACGGCGTAGACATTGGGCAGCATCGCCATGATAAAGGCGGCCGGAATCTGGACGCGAGGTTTAGCCTGGTGGTCAAGCTACATCGCTTATGGATACTTTACTGACAGTGTAAAGGGAGAGCCCCTTTTGGGCGAGGTCCAGACCGAAGAAAGACATGTTGGCGGCGGTGTTTGAATGTCACGTTGAGCGATGTTGGATGAGTTGGTTCACACAATGTTTTCACTTGGACGGTGAGGAGGCACGGAGGGTAGTTGTATGACTACACTAAGGCACGGAGTTGACCCTTTCAAGATCGGAAGGACGGCGCGAGTTAGAGCCCGACGGGACACCTAAAGAGAGACACGAACTCGGGGAGGAGGGGGTTGCGCCGAGGCAGTCCGGTCGCACGGGTTGCTCCGAGTTGGGAAACCAGCACGGCACGGTTAGTATGGGAGCCTAAAGGGACAGCTACCTGTGAGAGCTACGCACAATACCTAGTCTTCCCGCACTTAGTTGACAAGAGACTGGGGCCGCGGGAACGCTGCCCACATTGGGACCTGGTTTGGCCGAGTGGTGATGACAGAGTTACAACAATAATTCGCATCATCGAACGGGGACTGCAACATTCGATTGGCCAGCTACAATTTCCCCCCTCTACCCCTGTTGAAAGGCAAGGGCGAACTCGTGGAGTGGGAATCGTGATGTCACCCGAACCGGCATTCCAAAGGCACCGACCAATCCGATGCTGTTTTCTTGCATAACTTTGCAGGATTTAACGTTGTGTAAGAAACAAAAAAGCCGGGCCTGTCATTGGGCCGCTGGGGGGACGGAATAGCATCAAGCAAACCAGACACAAAACTTCCCACTGCGGATTTCTTTTCACCGGGCTGTGTGTTTGGGTGATTTGGTGCGCCCACACATGTTTTGATTTCAGCCTCCATGTTCAACGTGATAAGGAATAAACATCGCTTAACTCATTGTCGTTGAATCTCTCTCTTTGATTATTTCTCTCTGTGTGTTGTTTCCGATACCTGCGGGGGAAGCTCAAACAAGCTACCGACGTCCGTTTCGTTTCTCTTTTCAGAGTGTTCTTCTGAGAGAATGCGATGTCTTGGCAGACGCACAATCTGGAACCTGCAAATTCAACCTTCCGGAACGGATCAACTACGCCCTCTCACAATCGAATCTTTGGCAGCCTATGAGATGAGCCTCTCACCCAGAGTGTTCGCCAGACTCACGGCAATCACTTTTTATGAGAAGCCTCTCAAAGAGCATGAGTACCTGCTCATTTGAATACCTTCTCAATATCACCAGATACACCCTGCGCTCGATGGCTGCACTGAACTGATGATAAGTCACTCATCGACGAACAATGAGTGTGAAGGTCTTACTGAGAGTGCACGAGCGCCATACCCAAAGCATGTCGCATTCAACGAGCCAAGCAGTTCGATGGAGTGCAGGATGAGTATCAGTTGACTGTCTTATGAGAGGCACTTTGTGGCACACGAACGACTAACAAACATGAATTGTACGTTCCCGAATGAGAGAACCTTTTCAAGTTGCTGACTTTTCCTCTTCCAGCGCGGCAACTCGGAGGTATGCGACTGACTCGAAACTCACGAACCTTTTTTAGCAGAGCTTGCCCCGCGACTCCGCGACGAGACTATTGAATTCGGGTGTGCGCTGGGCTTTGGAGTTTTTGGGACGAGCACTCACAAAGCGTCCATGGGCCCCGACTCATGCTCCAGGTCTTATCCTGGTTGCCCGACTTCAAGATTGTCGGGCAACGGTCATCAGAAAGTTGCTTTGCTCGCCAACGTTCATCGAATCAAGTGATTCTGGAGTCGAAAATTTCGTCTCATTAAGGGCCAGGTGCGATAGGGTGTTCATCTCTATGGTCCTCAAGTGAGGTTGGAAGATGAGAATTGTCATCATTTACACTGCGCCGGCGTCTTCTCACGGCCTGTTGGTGCTGCGATCGACAGCGATGACGATCTCCCAAAGGCAGAAAAAACGAAATCTTCCACCACTACCCAGCCCGACAGCTTTCCAGCAAAGAAAGTCGCATTGCTGGAAGCGAGCCTCGCAGGCAAGGGCCCCGAGGCTGGAAACATCAAGAGTGGGCTCTTCATGCCTGCGACCAGGTAAGAGGCGATGGCAGAAGAGAGAAAAAATAAAGCTCCAAGAGTCCAAGCCCGGGCATCCTGGGTTTCTGGGACTTCCAGCATCCAAGCAAACAGCAAGCGCAAGACGCTTGCGCCGGTGGAATGTGACCACAGCAGGGATGCTGATGAGATTGGATGCCAGACGGACCACACACAACGTGGGAGAATTTGGGTTGGTCTAGACGAAAACAGCATGGCGTCAAGAATATGCACACACTCACTCACTGACTGATTCATCGAGCGGAATATGTCGCCAGCCAGCAGCGGCAGAGCAGACTTAACTGGTAGCAGCACACTTTGGCCTGTTCAGCGGTGTTCCATCTGGTTCTGATTTCAACCAGCGGCAATCCAATGTGCATATTGCTAGGTATTGCAGCAGAATGGGTGGGAGGGAGCCTGGGGAAGTTTTTGAGACTCGAAGGTACTTACTTACAAGCGCCTTATCACTTATGCAGCCACTCACCACCTTAGGTCCTAACGTATGAGAGCGAGAGAGACACCTGTCCCCAGCGACATTGAAAGACCTCATCATCTTTTGATGTGCGGACGGGCAAAGGGCGGGTGCAATGCACCGGCGCTAGAAAAGGAAAAAAAAAAAAAAGCACTGAACACTTCAGGTCGTCCCCAGGTCTCCAAGTTACCCCCAACAGACAGACCCGATGGGCAGACACGTCCATCAAACTGCTGCAAGGAAGCGTTGCTGCGTAGCCTGAGTGCGCCGCAAAAAGTTGGAGGGTCCGGTCTAGGCGTCCCCATTGGAGAGACTATCTGGCGTGAGAGATTACCGCACTGTACCATCTCCTTTTTGCCTCCCCCGGTCTTTCATCTTCGCACCACCCATTCCCCTCGGCTTTCTGTTAAAGACGGATCCATGGCCTCCTCCCAGGCACAGTGTCCAGATTCTCCGATAACAAATAATTTTTCCCGGGGTGTCTATCAACCCCCCCAATCTAGCAACTGCCCATCAGCCTGTGACTTCCAGAATCACCACCCGTCCAGCGGCGCCCGTAGACCGACAATTTTCTGGTCGACCATCCACGACGGAATTCAATCGCGATCAATTGCCACCACGCACCACCACCACTTTCATCACTTTTGATCGTCGATTTCATCTCCCCAACGCGAGGAAATCATTGTCGACATCCCGTTTTTGCCCAAAACGGATGTCGCGGCAGCTCATGACATGACTGAGGTCGGGCCTGCCGACCGCTCCAGGCTTTTGCGATCCAAACGCGATGAATTTAGGTCAGTTACTGCATCGATCGGTAGAGCTTAATTGTGCGATTCCAACGATATAATTTTCGGCGTGTTGACATTTTTTAGTTCAATTGTAACGTCGAGGAAGCGGAAGCTCCGTCAGCTCTTCGCTGTCGCGACCGAGGGCGATGCACTCCCCACAAACGACTTCGCGAATCCCGACGCGCCGCCAGCCACCGCAGCCGAAATCCAGTTCTTGCAAGGCTGCGATATCTCACAGTACGTTTTCCTGTTCTTCTCGCGCTTTTTTGAATATTTTTGGTCGCGTATGGCTCTGGTTGTTGCCGCTCGCCGCTTACACGACTTACAGAGGACGAAAGCTCAATGAAGCGAATCTTCCTGCTCGGCCTCAACTGCGCTACGATGTCCTAAGACAGTCCCTCGATAACTCTGGCCTCTTTGCACCCGAGCCAGCGCCTGCTCCTCCCGCAAAGCAAGACGCTTCCCTCCCCGAGCCCCAAACGAAGAGCGCTCCTGCGCCGTCGCCAAAGCCGGCTGCAGCTGCATCTAGCGATCCGAATGGCGCTGCATCTTCACCTCGAACGCCTGCGACCTTTACCCTTCCGCCCTCACTTCCACCAAAGCCCCCGACGCCTGTGCCTGCTGCGGCGACGCCGAATCGACCCGATGCTTCCAAGCCGCCCACGTTGGCTGCCTCAGGTCCGCCGCCGCCATCACCTGTAGTCGTGCCCACGAAGAATCCTTTGCACGCATCGCGACAAGATGCTACTGAGACAACAGGTGCTGCACTTGTCGAAAAGCCCGCCCCAACACCCCTGCGAGAAAACCCGAATGGCATCCCGAAGAAGACCGAACCACGAAAGGGCGATGCGCCAAATGATGCGCCTACGCAATCCGCTGTGAAGCCACCCGTCGCCCAGCTTCCCGCTCGTCCAGACTTGAAGAAGGCCGAGGATACGACCCCTGTAGCTTCCAAACCTCCATCCGACTCAGCAAAGGTAGTCGACGGAGCTTCATCGCCAGGCTCAACGACGCAAACGGCCGCGACTCCCGCTGTGCATGATGTTTCGACTGATACGAGCCCCGAAAATGAAGGTCCTCAGTATGTGGAACGGCAGGCGACATCTAATGAGGGGGCGACAGCAGATAGTGCAGAGGAGGCCAAGGGAACCGAAAGCGGTGCTTCCCCTGATGAGGATTCGCTCAACGGCAGAATACCAGATGGGCCCGAAGCGCAGCTTCTGCAGGAGTCTATGGCGATGGGCTCTAAGCCAACACCGCCTGTGATCGAAACACCCGCGAAGAAAGCTTCGTCTCCCACGACACCTGTGCTACCCGCTCCACCTGCGGTTGAACTGAACACTACAGAGCCCACCACCGCAAAGGTCACTACACCAAGCGCGGCCCAGACTGCTGCTCCCACCGCCGAGCCGCCTACGGACCCGTTGGCCAAGGAAATTCCGGACAGCCAGGAGTCTCAGGCTCCTGAGAAGATGGATGTGGATCAACCAGCCCTGGACCAGTCTGGGGGAAAACCTTCCGTCGAGGTACAAGAGGCACCTGTTGGGCCCAGTCATACAGAGGCACAGACTCCTCAAGCTTCAAACCAGTCTCCACAGACGCCGCAGGATCCAGAGCGAGCGGTCACTCGAACAGCTTCTGGCACGATTCGACAGAAGTCGGTGGCCGAAATATTAGGAGGAACAAGCCCAGAGACTCAAGTGACTGCCAAAATGCCAGCAAGCCAACTCACACCTCTCACCTCCACGCCTCAGTCTCCGCCTTCGAGGCCAAAGACATTTGCCAACAAAAAGAAGGACAAGGAAAAGGCAAGAAACAAGCCTTCTGAAGTCGTGTTTGGTAAGCAGACCAAACGATCAGCAGACAAGTCTTTGGTGCCTAGCCAGCAGAAGCAAAGTTTTCTGCCGACAGACGACTATTTTACACCACTCTTTGTGCAAGGTTTTACGCAAACATCAAAGTGGATGAAGCCGATAGAGGTCATCCTCAACCAGTCTCACAAAACGGTTTCCACCCCAGATGCCTACGTCGCCATACAAGACAATCAGGCATGTCGAGTGCTTCGTCGTGTGTATCACCTGCAGCAGCATGACAAATGGTCACTGCGACAGCCAAAGAGGTGTCCGGAGCCTATCCGCCCGGAATCTCATTTGGATGTGCTGCTTCAAGAGATGAAATGGATGAGAACGGATTTCCGGGAAGAAAAGAAATGGAAACTTGCTGCTGCTCGGAATCTCGCGCACGCCTGCGCCGAATGGGTTGCTTCAAGTGAGGAAGAACGCAAGGAGCTCCAAGTGCCCGCGTACATTCCGCCCAAGGAGCAGCCAGTCCAGCCTGAGACTGAAGGCGATACATCCATGGCCGACATCTCGTTGGATGTGATCGATGCACACGCAACTCCCGAGCTGGTACCTTCAGGTGACCTGGATTCACCCGAACACATCGAAGAGCTACGGGAGGAGATTCTTGAGACTGTAGCCCCGTCTGCGATCTTTGCTCTGGAAGATGACGACGTTGTTTTTGAGCTTCGAAGTTCACCGACCGCAGACCAGCTGCTTCAGGAGCTTCCGATGTACGGAACACCACTCAAGATCCCGGCGTTTGATTTCACTGTTCCCGAATTCGACCCCGATGCGCACTGGCGTCGCCCTGCTCTTCCTCTGAGCAAGTACGTGGAAGGCGAGATGAAGCTTTCTTCGGACGGACCCCCGAGAAAAAGGAGTCGATACCAGTATGAAGAGGAGGAGGAGGATGATGACGAAAAGGTCGTGTTCGGATCTCAGCCCGCAAAGAGGATGAAGTTGCCACCGCAGAATGCTAATGTGGCCCTATTCAACCCCGAAATGAAGCCCATCAGAGACCGTCTCCACGCCGGCCATCAGTTCCGCCCGCCGGCGGAATACCAGATGCCCATGCAAAGCTTTTACGAATGCCGCAGCCCCTCGCAATGGACTTTGGCAGAGGATGACGAGCTGCGAAGCCTGGTTCGCGAGTACTCATACAACTGGTCGCTCATTTCCAGCCTTCTCACGCCTAGATCCGTGTTCACATCCGGAGCTGAGCGGAGAACGCCTTGGGAGTGCTTCGAGCGTTGGATCAACCTGGAAGGCCTTCCGACGGACATGCAGAAAACGCAGTACTTCAAGGCGTACCAGAATAGGATTGATGCTGCCAACCGTGTCATCTTGCAGCAGAACCAGATCGCGCAGCAACAAGCTGCCGGCCAGGCGGCGGCGCCGACAACGCCGGTCGCAAGACGCAGACCGTCAACGCCGCTCAGGGTTGAGCGACGACGCAACCAGAAGCATCTTACGCTGATTGATGCTATGAGGAAGCTGGCCAAGAAGCGCGAGACTGCGGCCCAGAAGCAGCAACATGCCACCCAGATGGCAGCCATGCGAAAGGCGAACGAGGCCGCGCAACCCAGAGGACCCACCAAGACACCTAGGGATTACAGCTTGATGAGGTGGGAGCGCGACCAGCAACTTGCCGAGAAGGTGGCCCAGTTCCATCAGCGCCAGGAGGCTCAGAGACGCATCACCATGCAACAACGAGGTCAGGTTGCCGCCCAGATCGCTACGACACCCGCCGCAGGCCAAGTACCGGCAGGCGTCGCGGGTCAAGTCAACGGCAACATGGCTCGTCCCAATATGCCTAATCAGCTCGCTGTTCCGGGCCAAGCAGGCCGAGGTCGCATGCCCATGCAGGCTCCGACCGCCAATATGGGCGGGGTTCCTGCTCAGATAAGTGGCCTTGTGCCTCCCATGCCAATGAACGGGGCGCAGACGGCTCAGATGCAGGCGGCTCTGCAAGCTCAGCATAGGATGCCGATGCCCAACCCTCAGCCTGATGTTAATCTCATGATGCAAGCGCGGCGTATCTCAGAGCAGCAGCGACAGGCTGTTCAGCTACAACAAGCTCAACAGCAAGTCCAGCAACAGGTCCATCAACAGCAGCCGCAGCCGCAACACCAGCAGGCCCAACAGCAGCAACAGCAACAGCAACCGTCTCAGCAGCAGCAGCAACAACAGCAAATGCACCAGGGAACACCGACGTCTCATGCGTCTCAGTCTCACTCTCCGCCAAACATGCGGCCCGCGTCAGTTAATGGCGTCCACGGCGCCAACGGCGTCAACGGCGTCAATGGCGTCAATGGTGTGAACCAGCAGAGCTTCATTGCCAATGCTCAGGCCAATGCCCAAGCCATGATGGCATTCAACGCTGCTAATGGTGGCGGGGTGGCTACGTCTCCTGCTGGTGGTCTCCATATGCCCAACGGCACTTCGGGCTCACCTCGCCCCCTCACACAAGTGCCGCCGGGCATTCAGCAACAGCTTAGCAACCTGGAAAACCAATATCGGCTCAAGAACCCGACCTGGACACCTGAGCTCGTGCGACAACATGCTACAGAACACCTTACTCGCCTGATGATTCATCAAAGGACGACCATGTCGCAAAATGCCATGAATGCGGCTGCTGGCGGTGGAGGCGCTTCGTCTCCGGGTATTGCCAACGGCATCGCTGCCACGACCAGCCCGCATCAGTATGCTGCTCTTCTAAGACAGCAGCAGCAACAGCAACAAGCGGCGGCAGCGGCACAGAATGGTCAGGCTCAGAATGGGCAACACCAGCAAGCTCACCAACAGCACCATGGCCAGCAACAGGCACAGCAACATCATCAGCAGCAGAATGGTCAACAGCAACATGTGCAGCCTCAGCATACTCAACACCAGCAGCATCAAGCGCGGCCTCAATCCGCACAGCCTCAGCACACGCCGCAGCCTCAGCAGGCTCAGCAGGTTCCAAAGCAGGCTCACACGCCGCAGCAGGCCCAGCAGATTCAACGGCCCCAGTCAGCTCAATCGGCTCAGGCTCTCCACGCCGCACAGTTGCTCCAGGCCCAGAAGCTACAGCAAGCTCAAAAGGCCCAGCAGGCTCAACTTGCGCAGCAAGCTCAGAAGCAACAGCAGCCACAGCAACAGGCCCGACAGTCGCCACAGGTCCAACAGGCCCAGAAGGCGCAGCAATCGCCGCAAGTTCAGCAGGCTCAAAGAGCGCAGCAGTCGCCGCAGGTCCAGCAGGCTCAAAGGGTGCAACAATCACCCCAGGTCCAGCAGGCACCAAAGCCACAGCCATCCCCTCAGGTTCAGCAGGCCCAACAGCTTCATCAGGCACAGAAATCACCGCAGGTTACCCAGCAGGCTCAGCCGCCTCAGCCGCCTCAGCCCTCCCAGCAGGCTCAACAGGCTCAACAGCAGACACAACAGAAGGCTCATCAGCAAGTTCAGCAACAAGCCCAGCAGCAGGCACAGCAGCAGGCTCAGCAGCAAGCCCAGCAGACCCAACAGCCGCAGGCTCAGCAAGCTCAACAGCAACAGGCTCAGCAAGCCCAGCAAGCTCAGCAACAGCGCCAAGCCAGTGGAAGCGCTACACCATCTGCTACGCCCGCGCCATGAATGGGTACCAAGGGGGCGCGTTCACGGTTACATGAACGGCATCAAAATCACTATGCGAACAACGACATGAAGGTCTATCGAGAGTAGGAATACCAACCGCCAAGGACGTGGCGGGAGGACAGGCATTGAACCACCATGCCAAAGGAGGCGTCGCGGAGGTCGCGGATGGACTTGCCCGTGGGAGAAGAAGGGCACACACATCCTGCGTAGTCGTCGCACCGCTCGCTGGCCCCCTTAGTTTCTTTGGGAACTGTGGGTTCGTTTTCATCTCTTTCTTACCTGTTTCTCGCTATGAGTAGACGACGGCGTTACTGATTAGACGAGGGTTGGGCGGGGAACACGAGAGGGGGCCAAAGCGAGCGTTTTTTTTTGCGAGCAGACGAAAAAAAAACAACACCTTGTACATAGAAAGAGAACACACCATCCCACAATTGTGAGAGATTCTCGGCTTGGTTCTTCTTCCTTTTCCCCCCTTAACCCAAAGATGAGAACGAAAGCAACTTGGTACGGAAAACTAGGTTGTATATAACCACTTTGTAATGCCGAAGACGAGAGAAAAGAGAGGTGGCGGCGGCGGCGGCTGCAGCAGCCGAGGGGATGATGGGACGAGGACTCATCTTACCTTTTGCTTTTTCTAGAGATGGGGAAAAAGGGAGCGAGCATTCGGCTGCCGACGAAAAAAGGCACAAGATGCAAATGAAAGAATTAAGAAAGTTTTAACAAAGATACCTCCACTTCATACCCTGTTCGTGTAAGATACTATGGATTGTGACTCAAGTGCAGCCGTCACCTATTTCACATTGACAATATATACAAGTAAATTTTCACTTTTTTCATCAAAGTTTTGCCAGCTGAAATTCTCTCATGGCCGCAGGCTACCTGCGGCCAAGCTCTCTATAAAATTATGCGCCCAAAACGCCCGTTTGAATGCGACTTTACACTTCCTGGCATCGCCTCGGAGTGCGTGCGTGCGTGCGATACATGACCACGTGTCTAAAAGCAACAGGAAAAATAAAACCCAGGAAGCCCGCCCTTTCCTTCCCTTGATGACATATACAGAGAAAGAAATGACCATGGAAACGAAAGCCACACGCCATTAACCGACAAACCACTAGTCCTAGACCGCACCCGGCCCGGAGCCAGAGCCGTTGCCGCGGGTGTTGCCGTCAAGCAGTAACGTCGGCTTGATGTAATCCTCGTCCAGCTGCCTGAACAGACCCGCCGCGTCCTCGGCCCCGTGGCTGAAGAGCTGTCTGATGGCAGTCGTCGCTGAAACGTGGTGAGGCGCCACCGAAGTTCCGGCGGCAGGCTCGGTCTGCGCGAGGAGACCACCGGCAGAAGATCCGGTCGCCTGCGAGGCTCCAGGCGTGACCATTGGGCTTGTACGACGCGGGTCCCGACGGGCTGGGGGCGGGAGGTCCGACGTGTCGATATCGCTTCCTAGGTCCGAGTCCGTCGTGTTGCCGCTCCGTCCCAGCAGATCAGACCTCTCGATCTCAGAATTCTTGCGACTGAGACTCGATTGTCTCTTGACCGGGTTCGGCGAGTGCGAGCCCGAGACATAGCTGCTGCGTTCGGATCCCACCGTTGGCCGAGCGCCGTTGCGCGAGGAAATGTTGTCCAGCGACAGGCTGCCGTTCCGCCTAGGATTATATCCGATGCCGGTGCTATTGCGCTTGACATATTGTCCGCCGTTAAACGACTCGATATCGAATTCGTCGTCACTGTCAATCTCATCGACGACCCCAGTGCGGATTCCTTGGATCTCCAGCATACGCGCCGTCGTACCGCCAAAGATGATGACCGTTAGCACCACAACCACCAGGACGGTGGCTTTGAGCGCGTAAGAGTTTTCGCCAGTGAGAAGTGCAGCAAGAGCGACCCCGACAGCCCCACGCAAACCAGCCCAGAAAAGCATCGCCTGATAGTTGTAGGGCAACTCATCGCTCACCTCTCCTCCGCCCCTTCGGCGAGCCCTGTAGCGAATGACCCAGTTGATGAGGCGAGACAAGGGGAATACCGCTACCCAGCGAGCAGCGCAAACAGCGCAAACAGTAATTATGATCAGCAGCGGTCGGAACTGCAGCGCATTATCTGTGAACAGCGCTAGACCGAGGTAAATGAAGATGAAGTTCTCTGACAGCTGCGCAAGGATCTGGAAGATGAACTTGGTCGTAAGCTGGGTCCGACGAGACATGTTGAAATAAGCGTAATGTTTCAGCGTTATACCGCAGAATAGCAATGAGACAATGCCTTGGATGTTGTTAGCAATATGTTGATGCAAGGCAGGGAACTATTGAGGATCTTACCAGACATGTGGATGCCATGCGAGAAGAAGTAGGTAGCATACGCGATCAACACAACTAGACAACTCTCGTTCTTGGGGTATCGTCGAATGTAGGTGAGTTTCAAAAGCAATGCCGTCATAACTCCAACGAGCACACCAATCAACAAACTTCCAAAGAAGACGATCAAGAAGATGCCGATACCCTCGAAGAAGCTCAAAACGCCGAGCTTGGAGGCATCGCCCTTCTTGTACTTTTGCGCCGTCTCGAAAATAACAATAGCAATGGCGTCGTTGAGGATCGATTCGCCAAAGATGATGGTATACAACTTGGGGTCCACCTTGTATGAGTTGAAGATGGCCAAGATAGTGACAGGATCGGTGGCCGACAGGGTCGCGCCCACAGAGATGGCGTCGACGAAGGACATGCTTATGGACTCGACTCCTGTCAATGCATAGAGCCATAGAATGAGGCCGATGACGACAGCTGACAGAAAGGTTCCGGCAAAAGCGAACGTCAGGATGGTGCCCATATTCCTAAAGAAATTGGCCTGGTGTAACTCGTAACCGGAAGCAAGGATGATCGGTGGTAGTAGTAGGTTGAAGAAGATCTGGTAGTCGAAGCTAATGAGGTTTCGGATCGAATCGCCAGAGGTCACGAGCAAGAGCAGTCCCACAGTCATTCCTACGGCATGCGTTAGAAGCCATCGCGTACTAATTTGATAGGCGACGGGGACGAACCTGCAAAGATGGAGATGACCGTCTCGTGGACGGCCTCAATCTTCCTCTCTTGGAGGAAGTAGCTCGTCAAGAAGGCTGTAATGAGTAGCATGATGGAAATGAATAGCGCCCATGCGGCGAAGATCTCCTTCTGTGAGCCATCGGAGCCTGGATGACTTGCGGTCAGTCGCAATGGTCGGGAGCGCAAGGGCTGAAGGGGATCTGGTTGATAGCTTACCTTCAGGGTCGCCCTCTTCGGCGGCACGTTCTGGCAAAACAAAGTCAGCTTACGCAGCCTTGAGGCCTGCGAGAGGCAGAGTGTCAACATGCAACATACGGACAAGGCGCAAGGCCGTTCCCGCAACATCCGTCGCGGATATCATATCGTAATGGCGGTTTCGCGACGATGTGGTTGTTTATGGGTTGGTGACGGAGTAGGATCCAGAGTCGAGAGGAAAGCTGGGGGACCGGCGGCTCGCGGGTGAGCTCCGAGATGGGCGGATGGCGATCATCAACAGAGCAGCTCGTCGTCGTACGCCGCAGGGTTGTGAGCTGACGACGAGAGTCTCTGGGTCGATAGCTCTTTTCGAGATGTCGCCAAGTTTGAATGCCAATGCGGTCGAAGGACAGACAGACTTTAGCAAAAGGCCAGTTCTGATGTAAGGTTCGTAGAGGTGTCCACTAGAGGTACAGACAGATGCAGCGCAGGTCGACAAGCAGGACGGGACGGGAGCCAGCCACTGGTCGGAGGCTGCAACACTGCGCAATGGCAGGAAGTGGCTCTGGAGCGATGCGGTGATTGGATGGGTGCTGTTTGACGGGCGGTTTTGCTTGCGTAGCCTCGGCGGGGTGGTAGAGTTACAATCGAAAGCGGGCGCGTGTCACTAGCTGATGGCGGAAAACGCAGCGCCAAGCGCAGATCCTAAAGTACCGGGTACTGCGGGCCCAGACGATGTTAGCCTGTATCCGTACGGATAGTGTACATAGTAGGGTATAAGGTAAGGTATGGTAGCTCGGGGCCGAACCCGGTGAGACGGAGCGGTGGACACGTCGAGGATTAGGTGCCTTACCTTTGGCCACTTGAATTCCGATAAGACTGAATGTGCCGTTTGTGTCAAAATGTGACTGTTATTCTACTTCTTCTCTTGTATTGCATGAATAGTTGCTGTGTTGCATATCATACCTTGATGCATAATGAACGTCCACCTCATGTAATGGAAGTGGTAGGAAGATTGGGCCGAGCTTGGCCGCTGCCTGCAGGAAGCATGACTTCATTTGACACGGCACGTGCTCGTGAGGACCAGTTGAGGTCGACGATGAGGTGCCCCACCATGGGTCGGATTCTAGTACAAAGTAGAACTCGGGCAATTACTGGGCCCAACACAGCTGAGCACCTCCATGGGCAGGCAGTAGGGTTCCATGCCACCCATTGTGGCATTGCATTGCCTACAGACGCAGTAAGGTAAGCATCGTGGGATCTGCCCTATTGTGTACGGGTTCTCCGCAAAGTGAGAAAGGCCCATTGTTTTCCCCAGCTTCCATGTCCGCGGGGGCCGTAAAAAAGATCCAGTGGAAACAGTTGTAGGGACCATCCAAGCTGAGGGTGTTGTGGATGTGGACTGCCGGTAAGACATCTGACACTTGAGGGTGCTGTGGCAGGACTTGTTGGGAAAACCGGGGTAGCACTTGATCAAGATCCCTCGTGAGGGCACATCAGCCGGATGGAGGGCACCGTCAGCCGGAGACGGCTGTTCTACCACACGCAGAGACACGGGGTTGCGATCCGAGGGGGGGCCAGATGAGTGAGATAGGCAGATGGTGAGATGGTGAGGTGGTGCCCTATCGTACCTGACTTTTGCCTGAAGATGGCGTGTGCAGCGACCACACGAGGCCTACCCGTGTCTGTCTATGTTGTTGTAGTTTTTGTCAGAGAGCAAGTACCGGTGGAGGACCCTATGCACGCCCATCAAGTCTGTTGTGTTTTTAGTGTTCTCTG